ACTTTTTACATCTATATTTTAAAATTTTGCTTTTGAAATTATTTTTAACCAACTTCAAAATTGAGAAGAGGATTTGTTACTTTAAATATTTATACCTATTATATTGCCACAAATTAATTTTAGTTTGAGTTTCTAAAACTTTAGTTTTTTTGTCAGTTCGTCGTGTGATCTCAAAAAGAAATGTTAATAATACTACAGAAATATTACTTTAATTCAATTCTGAAAAGTTGTTACAATATGAATTCAGTGATTAAACTACTTTGTTATGTATGTTTATAACTCTTTCAATCAAAAGCTACTGAACAGCTTTTGATGAGATTTGGTATACAGATAATTCTGAGCCTCAATTACGTGAATATAGGCTGCTTTTTTAATTAAAGGGATAAATTTACTGTCAAGTCATCATACAATTTATATGATAATTTGACAGTTTATACAGTATAATGTAAGCGGGTGAAGCCGCTGTCGGAAAGCTAGTCCATTTATAACTTCTAGTTTCTCCTAGCTTGTATATATTTTAATATTTGCCAATGATTGCCGAGCTCCGAGTCAGACCTATTTTCTATGTGAAAATACGAAAGCTTTCCAGTCTCCGAATTTTTTTGAAAACAGACTTAAAAAGCTTTTAAAATAGCACTCATCTTCTTCTAAAAACGGTTTATATGATCACGAAAATTATATTGAAATCAAGCAGAAATTTTATGTAAGTAGGTTCATATTTTAACCGCCCAACTTCATTAGAATTTTCATGAGCATATGAACCTGTTTAAAATTAATACATATATTATTTTACAGTTATTTGAAGTCGGTTTCATTAAAAAGAAAAGTTTTTTCAGTTATACATATAAAATAATTGATGTATACTTTCAATTGCATATTCAATTGGTTTTGTAACTTGGAATAACACTGCCAGTTATTTTGTGAAAAACAAAAATGATAATCCGATTTCTTTAAAAAAAAATCAAGCTTCGAATCAAATATTCAATTCTAAGAATCAGTCTACATTTTGAGGACAAATCGGATAATATACTTATTAAAAAAACCTTCTAACGTAGAACCTCCTTCTTTTCGGTTAAAAAGTAATTAATTGTTTGACACAGGATTTTACATGACACTACATATTTTTTATATAGACGCTTTCGTCGACAAAGGTTGTACGCAACCACATTATGAGAATTAGGCAGGTAGGTATATTTCAGCGCGGTCTGAATTAATTTTTGCTCGCTCTAACGCTTCATTTCTATAGGTTTCGCTTCGATAAAAGAAGCTTTTAGGACCCACGTTTCGAAATAAAATATGAATGAAGACTAAAGGGTTATTTCTTGTATTTTCATATAAAAAATTGACCTTCTAAATATAATGATAAAAAAAATACATCAATCATTATCAATAGATTTACAGCAATATCTTATATTTTCCCGTAGGTAGTCTAATTTCAATATATATCGCAATCATTCTCAAAGGTATAGCTATGCTAACAGCGATTTTTGAATTGTGTTACATTGATAAGTAAACTAAGTTTTGTATAAAGTAATATTTGCGTCAAACTCTTGCCTTGGACAATTCCAATTAATTGCAAATTAAGGATAAGTTAATTTAATATTTTTTCGAAAAAAAAAATATCTTTCAAATGTCAAATCGAAAGAGATTGCGATAGAATTTAAAATTAGAGAATTAGTCCCCAGACCATATTTTATTGATCACAATAAATTTCAGTCTGATAAGATTTAAAATATTGATATCCAACAATAGATTCGAGATCACCCGTCAAATAACTGACATTTGTAAACGTTTTAATTCGAAAACAGCAATTACGAGTAAAGATTTACTCTTTAGTACTCACTTTTGAAAGATACAAAAAAAAATGCAAATCAGAATTTTATAAAGAAGTGTGCTTAAAAAGGTTTCATAAAACTAAATGAAAGAAAAACATTTTGTAAGCTACGTAAAACTTGAAAATATTTATGTAGGTACACTTACCTAATTAAAAACTTCGGATCAAATGTAAAAGTTTAATCATTATCTACTTATAATAACTTTAAGTTTAAGCGACAATATTTATACACAATTTTTTACATATTAATCTACAGATTCAAAACTCAAAACTTTGTATCGCACAAGAATCTGAACTAAGTCGACTCGAATTCCCATTTTACGTTCGCAACTTCAACGAGAGTAGCGCAGACGTCGGAACCACTACCCTTACCGACGCCAAAGGTGATACTGGAGCATGCCTGTATAAAACATACCCACAAACATTTGCCCTGTGTTCCTTTACTTGTGTACGTTGCGCAAACCTGCGGGGAAACCGTTTCCACGTGGTTTGTCTCATTTGCTCACTTTGTTAACAACGCCATCTGTTAGGTGGACGAAGAAGTTTTTAATCGAAAGCTAGTGCCATCTATACAATTTAATATACACTTACCTAACGTGCTGTTGACAACTGTTTTATTATTTTTGTACATAATTAAGATAATCCATTATTAAAATAAGATTTTCATCCTTTTATATAATAGTATTACGTATAGCACTACTTATTAAATTGACATCAAAACAATAAAGAGGAGGTTTTCGATTCGACATAATGCCTTAAGTTCGATTTAAAGCTACTCCTAGTTTTTCTTCCGGAATAAATTTTATCAAAATTCAGAAGTCATTTTTTTATAGCACAATAACCAATAATAAAGAGCATTGGATGATAAATGTGCATAAAAACGAAGCACAATTCATCTTTTGATTTATGTAACGTACTATCGTACTATTATCAAATAAAGTATTAGGTAATTATACCTAGACATTATTTGATCAGTCAGCGATCGAAATCTTTAAATCGTGTTTAGCTCAATACATTCGATCAGCAATACACTTATAGATAATGCCTTGCATACTAAAATACCTACGGCACCACCATAAATTATTAATTAGTAAAATAGACTCTAATATCAAGAAAAAATATTAATCTAACATAATATGCCGTATATTATTAATGCTTAAAATGTCCACTTTGTCCCTGGCAATACATCTTTTTCAATATAGCATTGTGAATACAAATTGATCAAATATAATAATAATATGTCTTAACTACAAATCATAGGGCTCAGTTTTGTTTGTGTTGTTATCTCATACGTTCGTTGAAAAATAACATCTACAGCAACTGTTTCTTATGAATACAAACTAATATAGGTAATAAAGGACAAATTACTTGTACGAAATAACACTTACACCATTTTGAATTCATTTAGGTATCCAAATTCACTTCAAAAAGTGGCATCCGGGTAATAATGTTTCGTGGCATAAGTGAAGTGAGTTTCGAAATGACATAGGAATATACATATTATATCTGGGATATGTATATTCAATCACTTTTGTTTAATATTTTATACGAAAAATGGAATCAATAGAATTTCTTCACTAGACGACGTGAATTCGGACAAATGAGTGAATTGGAATGAGGAAGTATTTAAAAAAAAAATTAGTTCCCGAAATCTAACTAGATGTCGCCACGGTACGTTCTTGATTTGTCCATGACAACTTTTCCGGTTTTCTTTCATGTTTAAAAGTAAATTAGTTTTCAAAACTCAATAAACAACGCATATTCTATTTGTACTTTTTCATATTTGTATTGATATCTAAGTTTCGAACTTTTAATTTTTTTTTAATATGTTAGTTAAAAGGAACGGAAATGATTGTCTTTGGTTCATTAGTTTCCTGCAAAAATCAACTTTTACTTGAGTCGCCATCTAGTGAGGTGCTTTTTAGTGCTTTCGTTTTTTTTAAATACTTTTCATTCAGGTTCAGATTTTTACAAAATCGCCTTGCTGAGATTATCAATTTCATTTTAGTAAGTAAAATATACGTATAATTATAAAGGATTATAATATAATACTAGTCAGTGTCTCACATCAAATAAAACACCTATTAGAGCGCATGATGTAGTTTGTGGGTAAATTGATAGTAAAATTATCTAAGAAAAGCGCGGAAAACATTTAAAGTGCAAATTAATTTTAAGGATTTACTTTATTTTAAGCAAGTTACAAGGGTCAGTCTCTGTATATCAACATTTAAATCAACATTATTTTGGATATAAAAACAATATTTTTTATGGGAATGAGTATACATACTGACTAATTTAAATCAGTTGTTAAATACCTAGTTATTATGAATATTAATAATGAAGTATTTTAAGAAAAAAAGGAAGCACTAAAAAGTACCTCACTAGATGGCGGCTCTAACAAAAGTTTATTTGCAGGAAACGAATGAACCAAAGATAGTTATTTCCTTTCTTTTAAACTAACATATTAACAAACTGGTAAAGTTCAATACTTAGATATTAATACAAATAGAACAAGAGTTGTTAATTGAGTTTTAAAACCGGAAGCGTTGATATGGAGAAATCAAGAAAGTACCGTAGCGACATCTAGTTTGATTTCAGGAACTAATTTTTTTTAAATACTTCCTCATTAAATTATTTTTAAAAATCTAGTATGATACACTTAAATCAGTAGTTACTTGTGCCTTGTACTTAATGACTAAACCAGTCTATGATTGCATAATATCTCCAGTATATGTAAAATTCAAGCAAAACATATTTTTATTAACTCTTGAATATGTATTGTAATGTATAGTTTAGAATCTAAACACATATATAAGGAATAAGTATCCCTTTGTGATACTCCAAATTCCATAATTAATTGATTATACAGGATAGATGTAAATTATTCTGATTTTTCTACAGATTAGAAGGATAATTCTTAGTTGGAAATCCTATTTATTTATGTTAAAGTTAAGTGGGAATCTTTCAATAATTTTACCATTACGAATCTTGTAAGCAAATAAACATGCGGTTTTTATTGAAAAAAATCTAATAAAATTAAAAAAAAACGAATTTGATTATATAGATATTGTATGTACTTTTTTAATTTTGGATACGAATATACCGATATTAGTGGACTACTCTAACTGTCAATGTCAGTGTCAACTTGTATTTCTGGAAATTGTCCATGACTGAAAACTGACACGCTTTCAACTTATTGCAATAAATTTTAAAGAATTTATTTATTTATTTTATCAATAAAGCCTCTCTCCTTTTTAATAAACCTTTCTGTTTAGTAAAAAACCGCAAAGATGAGTACTATTTTGGAGAAAATAGCCGCCATAGAGTCGGAGGTTAGTATAGGTTATATTTCAGAATCATTCCTTTTTTTTATATCAATCAGACGTATCTGAAATTTCATTCTAATCATAACTTAAATAAATTGTGCTCTAAACTAGTCCTAAATGTTGAAATGTTTTCTTTTACTCTTATGCTTACAAAAACAATGTCTTACAGATGGCCCGTACACAAAAAAATAAAGCAACCGCTCTTCATTTAGGTATATTAAAGGCCAGGTTGGCAAAATTACGTCGTGAATTAATCACGCCTAAAGGAGGCGGCGGAGCTACAGGCGAAGGTAATACTTTAAAGACATATACTGCACAATTATAATTTAAAGAAGTAGCCACATTTCGAAAAATATGCCATAGTTAGAAGTTTTAATTAACAACGCCACTCCATCGTGTTGTCATCGTTTTGTCTATCTGTTGAGCATAGTTGTTTGTTAAATATTTCATTCCAATATAACAGACACTACCAAATTAGGTACTATATCTACCAAATAGGTACTATATCTACCAAATAGGTACTATATCTACCAAATAGGTACTATATCTACCAAATAGGTACTATATCTACCAAATAGGTACTATATCTACCAAATAGGTTTTTTAAATCACTTTTAAAAAAACTGCTTGTTTCAGGTTTCGATGTTGCTAAAACCGGTGATGCTAGGATTGGGTTTGTGGGTTTCCCATCGGTAGGGAAATCAACACTTCTGTCTAATTTAGCAGGAGTGTACTCTGAAGTTGCAGCATATGAATTCACAACACTCACAACAGTGCCCGGCTGTATCAAGTATAAGGGTGCAAAGATACAAGTGCGTCCCCATTGTTTTCTAGTTCAAATATAATTGGAATATAGAATGATCTTAATGTTACGTGTTGAGTAACTCTCAATATCTATTTCTTTTTAAATATGTTAAAATCTTCATTTTCTGCTTTATTATTATTCTACATTGGAATAAGTTATGAAAATTAAAAAAGTTAGATATAGTCAACCATTCAATTACTAATCAGTGTAGCAACTATAACTAAGTACACAAAAAATTAAACAATGATGATGGTCATACAGAACATAATCCATTATAACACAGTTGCTGATAGTTCTTCCAAGGTCCTAAAAGTTTACTAAACGTATAGTCAGTTGCACAAACATCCATTAGGGTTTAATGACGCTTTTAAGCTCTAATTAATGTCAAATTTGTATGGGTAATGTCGCTTAAAATGATGTCAACTTTAATGGATGTTTGTGCAACCTGCTATTAGTTGATTTAATGAATGGTAGTCTTGTAATCAACCATCAATTTGTTGCTATTTGTACTGTTGTTGCTATTAAGATGTAATGACTCCTTTAACTTCTAATAATTGTCAAATTTGTATGGGTATTGCCACTTTTTCCATGCCTATTTTCAAATTGAGAACATTCATTAGAGCATAAATTCCTCATTAAACCTTAATGGACGTTTGTGCAAATGACCAATAAACTGATGAAGTTAAATTTAAAAAAAAAATATTGCTTAATACTGAATAGTAAAGCCTCAAGTATACCAAGTATCTAAATGAACTTGATATGGTTATCATTGACTTTGTATTTAATGCTAGTAATTAGAGAGAGAATATTCACATGAGACTAGTTACAATTCAATCCTAAACACAATTTACTCTTGTTTTTTTGTAACTTCAAATTATATTATTTCCTTAAAGCTCAAATAAATAAAGTTGGTAGACCCCCAGGTTATCAATATTACTAATACTTAACTTTATGATGATGCTATAAGTAGAATTTGTTGTTTGAGAAAATTAATAAATCACTATCTGGTTTTCAGCTTCTCGATCTTCCCGGTATTATCGAAGGTGCTAAGGATGGCAAGGGTCGAGGTCGGCAGGTGATCGCCGTCGCGCGTACTTGTAGTTTGGTGTTTATCGTATTGGACGTACTGAAACCGCTGCAGCACAAAAAACTTTTAGAACATGAGTTGGAAGGCTTTGGCCTCCGGTTAAACAAGCAACCACCAAACATATATTTTAGGAAAAAAGACAAGGGTGGCATCAATTTGAATACTACTGTAAGTTTAAAATCAATGCTAATGCACTTAGAATAGGCTTAAGCTGGGAATATAAATATTATAATTTATTACATTTGGTCTGGTAATGACATGGTTTTTGTAAATGTCATCACTCCCATTAGAACTGATGAGTTTGACCTAATGAATGGTAGTGGAAAAAATGTTGGATGATTCAAAAGTATTTTTAAGAAGTCTATATTAATAAAGATTATTTTGACTTTTTGACTTTGACATGATATGTTATAATAATTAAAACAAATTTAACTGAAAGTTAAATTTTTTTATCTATTAGTTGTTTGTGTGGATTGCCTGAACATGATTAAAATAGGCTCACTGTAAAAGTAACAAGTACCTGAAAAATTCGTCAGTCCTGTTGGGTCTTAGGTAGTTTAATTTTAACAGCTGTCCTCCGGATTGTGAATGGTTATGGGTTTCAAATCCCATCTCAGGGTGCCTGGGGCTGGTAGATGTTTCCAGCATTTTTCATTTAATCATCAACAATTAGAATCAAAATAAAATTAGTTGTGACAACACAACACACAAATGTATCTATCTTTAACTATGCTATATGTATGAAGCCATTATGCTTCTATCACATTATAACATAACAAAATCAAAATGCAGTCTTATAGCAATTTTTATAACATTAATCCAGATCAATGTACTGAATCTTATGTTCTGTGCAAATGTCTTGGGTGGGAAACAAGCTACCAATAATAAACATCTTTTGCTTCATTATCATTCATAAGTCTTCATAAATAATTGCACACAAGTGTTCTTCATTATGGAACGTCAATTCAGTAATTCAATATTTGCGTATGCGTATCATATCAAACAATGTTATTAGTCTACTGATACTTAATTCTTAATAATTTTTTGTTTGTTCTAATTTCAGTGTCCACAATCTGAATTGGACCTCGAAACAGTAAAAACAATTCTCTCAGAGTATAAGATACACAACGCTGACATAACGCTACGATACGACGCGACTAGTGACGATCTAATCGACGTTATTGAGGGCAATAGAATATATGTGCCTTGTATATATTTATTGAATAAAATTGGTGAGTTAAAGTTAATTTTTTTTCTGTATGTACAGCCATAAATCATGAATGAAATGGTTTTCTTTCTGTTTCATTTACTATTGTGAAGACAATAATGTTATTAAATTTTTGTAATTCTAAAAGGACTTCTAAACAGGCCATAAATGGTTGCAATATTGGCAACTTATTGCCTGATCACCCTAGAAATATTTTAACATTATCAGCCATACCAAAAATTTTTGGCTATATGGCAATGATGTAATCGTAGTATTGCACAGCCTGGTTAACATTTCTTGCAATGTTGCCGGGCTACTGCAACTGATTGCAGTAAAATGTTTGCGTGTTCAGAAGCTCTTTAAATCCACCAATTTTCACTGGGCTGTTGGAACAGGTTACTGTACTTTTCATTGAGTAACATTTGAGGATGTCAATAGAACTATTATTAATTAAAGTTTTATTAATTAATGAAATTACAGAAAGGTATAAGAAAACATTTTTTTAAACTTTCTTTTGAACAAGTTTAAGAACATGTGTTTTATAAATTTTCGCATCCTCTGAACGCTTCGTGGTCACTAGACCACAATTTCTACAGAGCCTGCAATAATTGAATCAATGTCTATAAAAAACGGAAATATATCATCTGTGAAAATTTCAACTGTCTATATATATATATGTTCTGGCTATATAGCCTGGTATATGACGAGCGGAAAGTGGAGTCTTATTAATCGGGTCCCGTTTTTACCTTTGATTATGTAACCCTAAAAACGAATTTAAAAACTGAATTTTTTTTTATAGATCAAATCAGCATAGAAGAACTAGATGTCATTTACAAAATACCCCATTGCGTGCCGATCTCTGCCCACCACAAATGGAACTTTGACGATTTATTGGAGAAAATGTGGGAATATTTAAAACTCATCAGAATATACACCAAGCCCAAAGGACAATTGCCAGATTACAATGCTCCTGTGGTCTTACACGCTGACAGAACATCCGTTGAAGATTTCTGTAATAAACTGCACAGGTCTATTGTAAAGGAATTCAAATAGTGAGTATTATTATTATATTTGGATCGATTTAGCTTTCACAAGTTTTTTTTTTATGTAGTGTAAAAAGCAATTTTGATCTACATTACATATATAACTTATTTATTTGAATAAGGATCAAATAATACTGTATTGTTAAAAATAGGTTCGTAAATATCCTATTATTTTACTATTTTAAGTATACATAAAAAAATTGTTATTGTGGGTTATCCTTGGAATATAAACATACGACCGCGGACTTTTTTGCAGATCGATTAAAGAGGTACAATTCTATGACAATGTTTTGTTATAACTCAAAAATTTTTGCAGCGTTTTCGAGGAAAGCTTCCGATCGGCTTTATTTTTTCCGGAACTAATATCGTCAGTTTGTACAAAACCTAAACTTACAATACACTAAAACCTTCCTCAAGAATTGCTCTATCTATTGTTGAAAACCGCATGAAAATCCGTCCAGTACTTTTTTTACGTCGAGTTTATCGTGATCAGACATACAGACAGAAGCGGCGGGGGACTTTGTTTTATAATATGTAGTGATGTTGACGTGTTAATATTTTTTTGTTTCAATATATATTGTTATATAATTATAATGTGTTTTAGCCTAATTAAAGGAAATATGTTTTTAAGCTTTTTATGAAACTATAAAAAATCTATTGTCTTTATACATCCAGCTATATGAATATCATAAAGAGAAAAGGTTTTATTGCTTGCATCGAATAAGGATCCAAAACTCCTGGACCAATTTTCAAAATTCTTTCATCTACTGTCGAGTTGTGGGAAAATCTAGTTATTTATAATTTTTAAGGCAATAGGGATGACGACTAATTTTTGTTTGTTTGTCCGTCAGGTAGAGTGTTAAAATATATAATACACGTATTTTTTTCGTAATCATAAAATAACGGCCATACATGGAATTGAAATTTCGCAACACGTCACGTTAGGGTACGTTTTCTATTCAACTGTGACGTAGCGAGACCCCACTCCTCAACTTTAATGCCTGTTATCTAAGCTATTTGTTGTTAAATTGAAGTAAAAAAAATACGTATTTAGTATTTTTCTATTATCTGACTGACGGACTAAATAGAATTGCATTTTTTTTACCCAGTCATCATCCCTATTGAATTTGATCATTGTATACTTACACCATATGTTATTTTTTACAGTGCCTTAGTATGGGGATCATCAGTGAAGCATCAGCCTCAAAAAGTGGGAATAGATCATGTATTGGCAGACGAGGATGTTGTGCAAATTGTAAAGAAAGTGTAAAATATATTATATTGACAGAAACATTATATTTTCGCGAACGAAAATTATAACTGATATAAATGTTAAGTATCTGAGATAAATTTCTTATCGGTTTGATTGAATCTTATTTGGCTCACGGCATTTTTATGAGCATTATTGATAAGTGTTGTTGCTTATTAATAAGAAATAACTATAAACGAATTGTTGAGAGCATATATTGTTTTGAACTGAATAATAGTTCCATAACTTGTTACTGTGAATAGGTTGTGATAGTGTTGTAATTTGATGGCGCAATGATTAATGCGTTGGTCGGCGATGCGGAGGTCAGGCGGCGATAAAACGATTTCTTTTTCACAAAATTAAAAAAACAAATGTCATCATATTTAAACACTAGTTCCATCTGTTGGCAGACAAAATAAATGAAATCATGAACTTCAACCTAATTACTCTTAGTTAACATCAAGGGCGGATCCAGGGTGGTCACGGGGGTCATGACCCTCTGAGCTGAATCCAGGACCGAGGTAGACTAATTTTTTTTTTGTCTTAAGTTTTTAAGTACTTTCAAAATTAATTGAATATTATACTCTGTACAGGGGTACACCCTGTATCCACCCCCCGCCCCCTGGGCTGGATCCGCCCTTGTAACAGTGGCTTCTTCTGTCCTCTTAACATAGTGACATTAAAAAATACATGGTAAATAAATGATATATCTTCAAAAAACCAATACTAATAACTTCTTCAGATACTTTATTATTTAATGTATTTAAATTGTTATTGTTAGAAGTGAAACATTTAACAATAATTTTGATATAAACTCCAAATTTTACGTTTAGTCTAGGCTTTTGTCATAATAATATTTGCAGAAAGTCGGTTTCAATTTTTTTATTTAATATTGCAGTGCAATTTTTCTAATCACACAATTAACTTTATTTTTTCTCTCCCCCTTGTAGTATATTTTCCTTACAAAGTAACAAAACACGTTTAAAAGCCGTCACATACAGTCGAAATTCAGTTTCGGAATTTAAATTCGTAATAACGGCTCAGTTGAAAAACACTAGCTATGGACTTAAGATATTTTGTTAATGAATGACTACGGTTTTCTGATTGCGATTTCACTGTTAATACATCACCGTTACTTGTGTCAACGGGAAAACGCAAAGTCCACCGTGCGTAATTTAGAATTGAAGAATACTCGAACGGAAAACTACTGTAAGTGCTTGTGATAAGTCCAAAGATTTGTATGAATTAACAACGTTTGATATCCCGAATCGAGATTCCAAAACGGGATTCCGACTGTGTGGCGGCCCTGAAATGTCAGACTTGTCATTGTAGAAACAATGCATTCAAATTTCAACCTTAACCAACCTAACAATTTATTGACAGTTCTGACGCTAAGAGTAGATGTTTAATTGTCTATACTTGATTTATTTATAAAAAACAAAAAAGAGCAGTTAGTATTCGGGCAATTTTAGTTCGCAGTTGAATGAAAAAAGGTTTCATTCACAACACGGTAATGAAATATATTTTTACTGTTCTATTTTTAACAACGAATAAATTAAAAAGTTCTGCGTTGAATACTTGCGACTGCCTGTTTTATCTTTGGATATTACTTATTGGCTAATTACATATAACTTTACAAAGTTGTACAGAATGCTCATTAAAGTTTAAAAAATATGACTAGTTTTATTTATCTTTAGCCCTTTAAAGTTTTCACCGTAGGAGTACGGGCCTTCCTTATGGATGGTTAAGGAAGATGGGCCACCATCGCCTCTTGCCCAATGCGGATTAACGTCTGCAAAATGCAGCCGGGCCGGGACCAATGACGTAATGTGCATTCCGAAGCACGGAGTAGCTCCACAAAATAATTTTTTGGTCACCAATCCCGCTGACTAATCCTTACTAAAGTCGCTTAACAACCGCGATCGCGGGCCTCGGCACTTATCCGCTACGACACCGAGCTACTCAGAAATTATTATATTTTGACAATATAGACTATTCTTTTCTGTCGCTTAGAACCACCATTTGTAAGAGAGACAAAGATAGAGGGTGGACGTCACGGGACTGAGCCGCAGAAGCCTAGATATGATAGCAGAGTTCAAAACCAAATGCGAGCCCATTATCGTATTCTGTAGCGAACATTATTATCGTATATTGAGTAAAATCTTGAAAATTACCGTACAACAGCACAATATCTCAAATTTCCATAAGTAATTTTAAACTTTACTGCAAGGTAATAAGGCTTAAAACAAATTAAGTAATTTGACACATCGATCTCCATCTAATTCAAGAGGCGGTTTCATAGTCGCGCAAACAAATACGCTGATGTTAACTCACAGATGAGTACGTTATAATTAGGGTTGCCAGATAATTTTCAGCCTGTGAGGGACAACAGAATTAATAAAAACCAAATCACTTTCTCATATTTTTTCAAATAAAACGCGCATGTCTTAATATAATATTTTTGTTGGATTTGAGATAATCAAAATGAATTAAAATCATAAATAAATATGGTCATTAATTAAGTTTTTATTTTGTTGGAAGTACATTTATTTCGCTCGTTACCTCACTTCAACACCATTTGTAAATTTGATTAGATATCTTCTTCTTCTTTTATTAATGGCTTATCTGCGCATTTCGCACAATTCTGCCAATGTCAAGTAAATAAATTAGTTTCTACATGTAAAATGAAAATGAAATGAATGAAAGATGACGACGGATCTCTTACGGGACAAAGTCGGTTCCGGTGGGACATTTGAACTTATGCATGAAATACGGGACATCTGGCAAAACTTGTTATAATACATAGATATAATTCGTTTAAGGAAGAGCATTAATTGAAGTCATCTAAAGAAAAACCGCTATAAAAGAATTGTAATCGGTAGATTTAATTAAAATATCGTAGAATATGCTGCATATGTTTATTAAAAATATTGTTTGAAATAATTTAAGAAAAAATTCAATTCGATGTTCAAAAATACAACTACAAGTAAAATTAACAAGTTGTTTAATGGCTGGCTAAACAAAATTCTCATTGCAGTGGGGAGTTGTTATGTGGACTTTTGGCAATAAGAACTTAACGAGGAAGTATTAAAAAAAACGAAAGCACTAAAAAGGCACCTCCGCTAGATGGCGACTCTAGCAAAAGTAGATTTTTACAGAAAAAAATGGACCAAAGACAGTCATTTCCGTTCCTTTTAACTAACATATTAAAAAACTGAAATTTGAGAAGTTCGAAACTTAGATATCATTACAGATACGAAAAATTACAAATAGAATATGAGTTGTTTATTGAGTTTTGAAAACTAATTTACTTTTAAACATGAAAGAAAACCGGAAGGGTTGTCATGGAGAAATCAAGAACGTACCGTAGCGTCATCTAGTTTGATTTCGGGAACCAATGCTTTTTTTAAATACCTCCTCATTTAATTTAAATGCCAAATAATAGGACATTTTTAGGTACCTCCATACCTACTTGACCAACAAACAACTTTAAAATACATTTATTTTGTAGTTTATCATAATATGAGTTTTATTGTTGATCGAAGTAATATGGCTATAAAAATAGTATATATTATTTTAATAATATTTAAGTTTAAAGACTGCATCATTGAATGATGCTAGAATATGATTAGGTCACTTCCTTCTTGTGAACTTCTCTATTTCTGCATCATTGGATTGGCGATTGGCTACAGACTCTTCAAGAAGTTTATAAGCTGGTCGAACATTTATGATTCTTGAGAAATTGCAAAGAAATATTGACAAATGAAATCTGTGCACCAAAGCTTTTCATCATAAAATAAGCAGTAAGAACGGATTAGATCCCTTTGCGTTTTACAAATTAAAAAAGAAAGATAAAAAAACAAAAATACATAACAAATTAACAAAAACATTTTGTTTTGTTAGAGGTTATATTGTGGTGAAGCAAAGTGCCATTAAAGTTAAGTTATTTCGTTTAGATCATTTTATTTAAATAATTTGACATATATTACGTTATTATCGGTTAGTTTGTTCTTATACAAATCTACCAATTCTTACCTAAGTGCCATAACAAACTTTAATATTTTTACTGCTGTGACGTGAAATCTAAATGCATAAGTTTAAAGAAAATCAAACATGAGTTTTGAAAGCTTGTCTCGAAATCAGGTTCGTCTTTTTAAATAAATCAGTTATGTATATACTTTTTAATAATAAGATTTTTTCTAAATACTCCTTAACGTGCCATCTGTTTTGCAAGTAGGGAATTAAATAAAAACTTGAAACTCATTGAAATGTCATGTCAAATCAACACAATGCTTCACACCGCTTTTTAAAACTTGCTTACTGTGTTCGATAGGTGGTGCTCTATTTAAAAGAAATATGTTTTCAGAAAGTTCGCGCTACTTTGCATCGAGACGTCCGACTTTTGTGTTCAGAAACATGCCATTTTCTTGGTTTGGAAATAAGCAAACCGGCAATGGAAATAATATCGGAATTAGTTTATAGAAAAATCAGTGTTTATGGATCAGACTTGGAAGCCTTTGCGAAGTGAGTACTTACTCATCAATACTGTTTACCTTCTACTTATTTCATTAGAATGTATTAATGTAAAAAGTATACACGGCTACACGTAGGGCTGCCAGATGGTCGGGAGTCGTCTGGATTGTCCAGACATTTCGTATAATGTCCAGAGTCCCGAAAAAAAAAATATGTCCCGACAAAAATTGTTAGATTCTGAATATCTAATTCCAAGTATAAAAAATAAAATAACATATATTAACAAATATAGTAAGCAGGTATATTAGTTGTTTAAATGTTATACTATTATTATATTTCAGTGCTTCGTTCTCGATATATATTTTACCATGTAGTTTCTTCATGTTACTAGGCAACTAAACGCATATTCAGAGCTCTGTTTCTAAAAAAAAAGAAAATACTTATCTATGCTCACCCTACATCCATAGACTATTTCTGGAACTTTCCATTCTTTTTGTTTGCGCGGTAACTAACGCACGTAAAACTGTCAATTTCATCGAATAATAAGTAATTAAAAGTGTATTATTATGCCAAAACGAAAGAAAAATGACGAAGAAAGGATTCTCAAATATTATAGAAAAATACGCAGATTACAAGAGCGTCATCATCGTAGTCCATCGGAGAGTAAGGACGATTCAGAATCTGGTTCTGAAAAATACTCAAGTAAGCATTACATGATATGTATACTTCTATTTTATTTCATTTGAATTAACCTTTACTAGAACAAAATAAAAAATCTCACACACCGACAATTAGCTGTAGTGTGATTGTATACACGGGTGGTGTACGTGATGCACTGACGTGTTATTTAAGTCTTGGAGTGTATACGAGATGTACACACAAGATTGACTATACCTGGGGAATGTCCATGAGGCATTACGACGGTAAATTTAATAATGTCAATCGTATCTTTCAGATTACGATACGACTCCTTTGGAAAGGGGAGAGGAGCAGTCTGATACTGAAAAAGAAAAAGGGTCACAGGCCGAAATCAACAATGTGATACAGAATGAATCTAACCCTGATGAGCCAGTATTAGATTTAGAAACCCTTCAAGCACTGGGAGATCCTGTCCAAAAGAAACCGAAATATGGTTTTAATATTAATAATGACATTGCAAAACGATGTGAAAATATATTAATGAATGGTCTAAACAAAGAATCTAAGGAAGTGCTGTTACAAGAATACTTAATACCTGAAAATTGCAAATTATTACAAGCTCCAAAATTAAACCCAGAAATACTGGCTACAATTTCAGATAGTATTAAAAATAGGGATAGAAAAATTGAGTATGAACAGCAGCAATTAGGTCAAGGCTTAACAGCCCTAAATAAAGGTTTGTCAACATTGGTTACCAATGCAAGTGATAAGTTCACGATTATTAAAACTATGAGCGATGCTTCCAAAATATTGACAGACCTTCACTGGTGTAAAACAGTGAGTAGGAAAAAATTGATAACTCCAGTTTTGGATAAAACCTTTTTGGAAATCATAAAAGAAGTAGATAGAGATGAATATTTATATGGTGAAAATTTGTCTGAAAAAATAAAAGCAATGAAATATGCTCAAAAAAGTGGACAGTCCATAAAAAAATCAGACAATTTTAGAGCTCAAATAAACAAAAAACCTGGAAGCTTTAGTGTTTCGGGAAACTTCAGAGGCCCGCCTCGGTCTCACAGTGTAAAGCCATATGTCCGGAGCGGGCAAAAGCGTCCACCTCTACAAGATCGGAATCTTCCTTACAAGCAGTTTCACCATCCAATGAGGAAGTCCAGAACAGAAATGAAACTCCCTGCTGCTCAGAAATAGAGGTATGTCATGGTGGTAGATTATCACATTTTTTACCTTGTTGGGAAAAAATTACTAAAGATATTTCTATATTACATTATATCAAGGGATATTCTATACCTTTTGTTTCTCAACCATTTCAAGGTAAGGTGCCAAAACAATATCAATCCACAATCCTTGAGGAAACTGAAATGGAAGCCTCTATTAAGAACCTTCTACAATTAGGTGCCATCAACACATGTGAGCCATCTCCAGGCCAATTTATATCTAAGATTTTTTTGATTCCAAAACCTAATGGCAAAAAGCGATTCATTTTAAATTTAAAACCTTTAAATAAATTTGTGTCAAAAAGTCACTTTAAGATGGAAGACCATAGAACGGCTATAGGAATGATAACTTCAAATTGTTTTTTAGCAAAGATTGACCTTAAAGAATCATACCTAGTTTTACCTATCCACCACAAAGATAAAAAGTACCTTCGTTTTCAATTTAGAGATACCTTGTATGAATTCAATTCACTCCCCTATGGTCTTTCATCGGCTCCTTATATTTTTACAAAAATCATGAGAGTTGTTGTTTCATACCTGAGAGAAAAGGGCTATAAAAATATAATTTATTTAGATGATTTACTATGTCTGGGATCAGATTATCAAAAATGTTTAGATAATGTAACACAAACAATTTCTGTTTTAAAATGCCTAGGATTTGTAGTTAATTTTGAAAAAAGTATATTAGAACCCTCTAAGTCTTGTAATTTTTTAGGTTTTACTTTTGATACAAACAATATGACAATTCAATTACCCAATGAAAAAAGACTTTTCCTTAAAAAAATAGTAGGTAAATTTTTAAAATTAGATAATTGTTCTATACGTGATTTAGCTCAGCTAATAGGGATGTTAGTATCTGCCTGCCCTGCTGTGCACTATGGATGGGTACATATAAAATATTTAGAACGACACAAATATCTTTCACTGCTTAAAAGTAATAATGATTATGACAGCAATATGGCCTTACACCCTGAAACAAAAATAGATCTAGAATGGTGGTTCAACAACATAATGACAACATTTATATGTATAGAACCTCGCACTTTTGATCTTGAAATTTATACTGATGCGTCGCGCAGTGGCTGGGGTGCAGTCTGTAATGATAATCATGTCAACGGTGCATGGAAAATAACTGAACAAAAATATCATATAAATTATTTAGAGTTATTGGCTATTTTTCTAGCTTTAAAAACATTTATTAAAAATAAAAAAGATGTACATGTTTTATTAAGAGTAGATAATAAAACTGCAATTTCTTATATAAATCGAATGGGTGGTATCCAATTTCAACATCTCAATGACCTTGCCAGAAGTATATGGGAATGGTGTGAAGAAAGGCAATTATGGCTTTTTGCATCATATATAAAATCTTCAGAAAATATAGAAGCTGATAGTGAATCACGAAAAATCAATATAGACACCGAATGGGAATTGAACCACAAAATTTTTTTGAATATAAAAAATAAATTTGGATCACCTGATATTGATCTTTTTGCTTCTCGTGTTAATACTAAATGTCCTACCTACATATCATGGAAACCAGATCCAGACGCATCAAATGTTGACGCATTCACAGTTAAATGGACTAACTATTTTTTTTATGCGTTCCCACCATTTAGTTTAATTCTAAAAATTTTACGAAAAATAAAACACGAAAACGCTGTGGGAATTATGGTCATGCCATACTGGCCCTCACAGCCATGGTTCCCTGTCATGCAAGAAATGCTTGTGTCGGAGCTGATGTTTTTTGGCCCTGATAAATATCTTTTGTCCTCTCCTTACAGGAGCAGCCATCCCTTACATCACCAACTTATCCTGGTGGCCGGAATCTTATCCGGCAAGCTATGATAAGGCAAGCCGTACCCACAATATCTTTAGAGACTATGATAGCTTCACTATCAACCAATACTTTAAAGCAATATGAGGTAACATATAAAAGTTGGTGGAATCACTGTCAAAATAATAAAATAGATCCTCTCTGTGCTTCAGTCCCAAAAGTTATGGAGTTTTTGTCTATTCAGTGTAATAGGGGCGCCTCGTATGGCAGTTTAAATTCTCATAAATCTGCTCTCTCATTATTAATAGGGACGCGTATAGGAAGTGACGAGCGTATTAAGAGATTAATTAAAGGTTTTTATAAGACAAAACCTCCAAAACCAAGATATTCAATTTCTTGGAATCCATCAATAGTTTTAAATAATCTTAGGTCATGGCACCCCTCTAGTACATTAACTTTAGAGTCTTTAACAAAAAAATTAGTTACTTTGCTGGCCTTATGCACAGCACAAAGAGTACAAACCCTTTCTTTAATAAAAATTAAAAATATAATTTGTGGAAATTCTGGTTATCATATAAACATATCAGATTTAATAAAAACATCAGCTTCAGACCGAATGCAACCAACATTAAGTTTACCTTTCTTCTGTGAATCAGAGATCTGTCCTGCGTTAACGTTACAGTATTATATCAATTATACCAAAGATATCAGAGGTACCATAGAACATTTATTAATTACTACTAAAAAACCTTATAAGCCAGCAACCCCTTCGACTATAAGCCGATGGATAAAGAATACTTTGTCAGAATGTGGTATTGATACTTCCATTTTTACAAGCCACTCCACTCGCCATGCATCAACATCTATGGCTAGGATGAAAGGCGTGTCGATAGAAACTATTAGAAACACAGCAGGTTGGACAGAGTCATCCCAAACATTCGCTAAGTTTTACAATAGGCCCATTATAAATGATTCTAATGATTTTGCTAATTTAATTTTGTCATCAAAATAAAAAAGACTTCGTTTTGTTATAATTATTGTGATTTGTTTGTGCTACATGATTGTTATGAAAGTATATGTAAAATTGAACATATTCAAAAATTTATGATTAAAGACTGATTATTATGTATAACATTTGTTTATTTACAGCTTTCTAAGTTATATATATAAAAATAAAAAATAAATATATATATATATATATAACCTACAATTAATGAAAAAACAATCACAAAAATCCTTGGTTCTCTAAACATCTACATGGTAAAATATATATCGAGAACGAAGCACTGAAATATAATAGGTGATCAAACGAACTTACCTTAAGTGATGTTCGATCAATATTATATGAAGTGCTTCGTTCGAAGATATATACCCACCCAACCCAAAAATTATGCTTCACTTTAATTCTTGACCCTGGGATTTTTTGTGATACAGGGCTCTAAAGAAATGGAAAGTTCCAGAAATAGTCTATGGATGTAGGGTGAGCATAGATAAGTATTTTCTTTTTTTTTAGAAACAGAGCTCTGAATATGCGTTTAGTTGCCTAGTAACATGAAGAAACTACATGGTAAAATATATATCTTCGAACGAAGCACTTCATATAATATTGATCGAACATCACTTAAGGTAAGTTCGTTTGATCACCTATTATGCGATCTTATAAATTGACTAAAAGTAGATACTTGTTATTATTTAAAAAAAAAATTAATAAGAAGTGGATTTTTATTAGTGTTTTTTGTCCCGACTGTCCATTTTTTCCCAAAAATCCCAAAATCCCATTTTTTTAAATTTTTGTCTAGATATTTTAGTCTCGCTATCTGGCAACCTCTGTCTAGCTACACGTCAGATTACCACAATATGTCATATTACGGCAGTTGATTTTAAATTCTATCTACAAAACTATGGTTTAAAATCAAGCAGAGAAATTTGACAGATTTGTTTAACCAGACTTGCTGTTGACTGTACAACATTATAAATAGATATACAGTCAGTTGCACAAACGTCCATTAAGGTTTAAGGACGGCTTTAAGCTCTTTTTCCCGTCGCAGAACTGAGTGTCGTTTTGCAAATTTTTACGAGAAAAAATTGAGTGGTCTATACAAACTAATAAAATTGGAGTGTCTATTTGTAATATTAAAATAATCGCTATTCACTAAATACATATGTAGACACGTATACGTGTTATATATAGAAAAATATCATTTTTTACGTTTTTGTTTGTTTGTTTGTTCCGACTAAACTCTGAAACGGCTGAACCGATTTTGATGGGATTTTCACTGGCTGTAGTTTATGTAATAAGAGGCAACTTAGGCCACTTTCCACGTGGATGAAGTCGCGGGCACAGCACAGCTAGTCTCATATAAAACATAAGTATGTAGTTTCTAAATATTAAATGTAAACTACAGGCCACTACAGGGGTGCGACCGCGTAACTCTTTCTTTCTCGCTCTAACTCTATCGGATACGACATTTTAGTGATGCGACCAAAGGACATCGTAGTCGTATGCCACAGCAGTTTGTTTTGTTATGATCAGTGGCATACGACTACGCTGTCCTTTGGTCATTGCTATTATAATACATATACCTATCGCTCTAAAATAAACTTGTTTCAAACTTTTTAGAGCGTGATTTAGCTTTAGGGTTTTAGTTATTGAACTTATATTTTGACAAATTTGTATTTAACGGCGTTACTAAATTAGTATTTTTACACCAAATTTAAAGTCAAAGAAGTTTTGAGAAGAAAGTTAAGAAAATTTTAAATGAAAGAAGTAATGATGAGACGAAATATCAGCGTAACATCGATAAAATACTGTATTTTATGGCTACAGAGTTAGGCGGTCGCACCTCTGGTATTCGTATAGGTATTGAAGAGTTATTACTTTTTTTTTCTACAGACACGCTAAACGTTCTACGATCAATTCAGAAGATGTAAAGTTATTGACTCGACGCAATCCCTCTCTGGTAAGACTTTTTTTTTTTGTAAGGAAAATGCTTTAAGTTAACCCCGCCGCTAGGTGAGCGTCGAGGTTATGTGGGGCTCGCCTCTGTGTCCATCTAGCTGGCATTCGCTCAATGGACTAACAAAAGCCTACTCACAAAAATCACTAGTGTGCTGAGGATGATCTAGGATTGGCCTACTATGATCGAATTCTGTTAATTTTTACGTTTTAATAGCATCTTAATAGAATCTCAGCTACCTGCATTTTGCCATTAGAATAAATACTTGAAGTCTAATATTATAAATGCAATGTCTTCCTCGTAAATCAGTAGTGACACACATATTTATTAATAAGTTTCCGCCAGCCATTTCGCCCGCGAGGTCCCTAGGGCTAAATAGCAGCCTTTAAGATAATGCAGGCTTAGAACTATCCGTATACCAAATATAGTAAAGGCGTCATAAAAGTTAGTATTTGTAACACTATTGTTTTTGCATAATAAAACCAACATTAGCAGAGTTGTCCTTCTGATATTAAATATTGCCTTTCCAGAAAGCCCATTTGAATGCATTAGTGCTGCCGTCATCTGCAGTAAAAGATAAGCGTCGTAAGACAGATACCAAGCAATCAGAAACACCAGCCAAACCTACAGAGCCGGAGAAAGAGGACCGTGTCAAAGTCGATAGACCAAAGAGAAAAACCGATGAATTTGAAGATATGACCGTAGATGACACTATAGATTTAACTTTTGATTAAAATGATAGAATACTAATTTTTGTCCTCTATTTCGTTTTATCAATATTTTTGCTTCATCGTCATCATCGGCCTTCCTTATCCTTATTATATATAAAGAACCATCCGACTGAGGACGACGGGCCATGAGCCTCTACGCTGGCCCAATGCGAATTGGAGGGTCAGTCTGCCTCGCCTTAATTTATTGGTATTTGGATCCAGTGACTCTTTTGTAGGAGCCTAATTTCATCCTGCATTCTTCGCGTTGCTTTGTTTTCCAAGTATATTATGTTCATCTTTGTGATCTCCTGCATCGTATTATGAAGTGTTATCTCCTACACGCGTAGCAATACGGACTTGAGAACGTTTTATCTACATCCAAATATCACTTCTCTCCGGTACGTCCTTGCGATATCTTACCCTTGACTCGAGAAAAGTGACGTTTCGTGTAGGCAAACCGTTTCTCGAGTACATATGTTATGCTACGCGTGCTGGCAATGCTGGCATTGAGTGCGATTTAGCAAGAGCAGAGTATACTGGCCAAGTTGTCAAACTCGATCGTTAAGAATGTTTAACAGTTTTCCACTCGGTACGCGCTCAAATCACAATATACTCTTTGGAATAATTCTTAAAATTCGATCGCTATGAGTTAGCGAGTACTTACGGTAAGATTGCGATCGCAAAGTCTGTCGGTACTGCAACCCGTGGACTACAAACACCTGATTGTAGCTATAACTCAAGCTTTTTAATATTTTATTATATTTTTGTTTTATTGTTGACATATTTAAGTGATACAGTCTATCAGCTTTTAAAAAAAAATATCAGCAAAAGTTTTTTAGCTATGGCTAGTCATAGCTAGAGAGTTGGTCTATTCGCTGGCCTACTCTTTCAGTTTCAATACCTAAATAGTAATATTATTAATCAAGTATTATGTTTGTTTAAACATTAAGTTTATCAACAGTTGATAGAAAAACAATGCCCGAATGGGTGGTAATTCGTCATTTTCAAAATTTTCCCGCTCTCGGTATTACACCAAAGCACTTGTATATCTGCTAGTCCTGTTATACATCAGAACTAAATGTTTCTTAGATTATTTAGATTCGTGCTACGTTTTCTCTGTTTTTATGTGTCTAGCCTTCGCCTACCGTCTAATAAATACCATATATATTATATACAACATCACATACATTGTTCAGAAATCGTAGACTGGTTTGCATGTTTATTTTTAGCGGTTTATTGAAACTTTTATTTAATAAAATACAATGATATTATTTGTATGTTTAAAAGTAATAAAAGACAGGAGGACAGGCAATGCAGCGTTCAAGTAAAGCACGACGTACGGAGCGACGCCAAAAAAAACTCGTTATAACGGAACACAATTACAACAGAACAGTGAAACGATTGGAGACTATGTTAAAAAAATATCCATTGCTCTAAATCCTGCTAATGTTGATAATATGGCTTTCACTGACAGAATTTATCTACTTGATGCCAAGCATTGACTCAATGGCAGATTATTTTTATATTTGGTGATACAGTACTGTGTAAAAGAGAAGCTTATAATAGCAGCTTTTCTTGTTGCCACTGTCACGCTATTATTACGTTAACATTAGAAGTGATCAGCTCCTGTTCAAAGTAGAACTCTTGTAATTACTTTAATTAAACGTTACTATATAGTCGACACACACTGAGTTATCCAATTCTATAAAATATCTGATATCAGTTTTGAACTCGAATCAATTTACCCTTTTTTCTTCGATTATTTGTCTATTTCCTTAGGCGGTCAATAGTTTAAACCAACTTTAGTCCTCGTTTTATAAAAAAGAAAAAATGGATGTGGAAACCGAACTGTAGTATAGTTATTTATGTTATGTATATATTTATTATCAATGTTCTTAAATTCGTCATCTTCTATCCAGTGGAGATTGTGATAGATAATATCTACCTAATTATAATTATCGCAATAGAACGGGGTAAATACATATTTAAATAATTAAAGATATCAAAGAAGGTTCGAAATTTGTGTTATAATTCCCGCCATTTTTTTTTATCTTCGAAAAGATGGGTTTTTATGTTTAGTTAACACGTGTGTCTGTTTACCTGTATGTTTGTCTGTAGCATCGTAGTTCCCAAACGAATAAACCGATTTTATTCTAGATTTTTAAGTTCTTCAAAAAAATTCGCATCATAAGATGAACATTTACGAATTTACGCAAGAAACGTTTACTATGAAGTTAAGTAATATACTTTTATTTATTTGTTACAGAAGTATCATGAACAATTATATCAGAGAACTAATTGCGAGGAATCTGGAGAGTTCCATATCTTATGTCGAAAGCTAAAAACAAAAATGGAAACTTTAGTCCTAACCATATCTAATTCTTGAGATTATATAATCTAAGACCTTATAAAATAAATTAATCACACGACTCTGATCGTGTCTCTGTTCTCACCAGTTAATTACTCCTATAACGACAGTTAGAGCATAATGAGATTTTTGCAATTCAACAGTAGCACATTACAGGGTGCTGTTTGTCACCCCTTTGACCCCCTACGCCTCCACTGACCGCAACGGGAAGTTATTAGGAGGTTATGTTAATGAATTTCATGTATGTGTGAACAGGTATGTTCAAGGAATGTTAGAATTTATATACACAGGAGTTGATTGACCGATAAGCTTTGTTAATTTCACTAACTTATGCCTTTGATATATTCCATCACTGTATCCTTGAAATTTCATAGAGGTCATAAGTGTTACTGCTATTAACGGAATGTCTAATTCTTGCCTTCGAACTATAACTAGCATATTCTACTAATATTTACGTAATAATAGCATCTCAATGGATTTTATCTACTTGCATTTTACAATTCTACTATCCACACAGAAAAGAGGTCTTTCTGTGTTGTGGTACTATATACCTGAAGTACATAATATTTTTAAACCCACACGATTTGCATACATTATAATTGTACATCTGAAAATCTGTTAAAAACATTATTACCGGATTACCCTCACGCCTCAACTAAAATCAGAAGACGACGCCCGCCAGTTCCAGTCTCCTCGTGACTACGGCTACTGTAACGTAGCCGAAACGTTGAGGTACATTAATAGTTTAAAAAATGCACGAACAAGACCCGATTACATATAATTACCTGAAGTACAGTATTATAAGTGAAATGTCTTCCTCACAATCCAATGTTGACAGATATATTTATTATTATGTGAGCAACTAATAAGAACTGTGTCATAAAAGGTTGCTAACTTTAACAGAAATATCCAATAGTAATGCTATTCTGAAAAAAAAACATGTTCCCAAAGCGTTGAACTCGAAATCGAGCATAGAACTGTCACAGCATAATTAATTTTAAACGGCTTATTAATAAGCCATTTATTCTGAGTGGTAAGTGTAAGTTTTACGCTAACGCGTTCACTAGTGAGCGCGTTAAGAATTTGTATGGAGATTTGTAGTTCTTGTTAGTTACCGCTAGGGGCGCTGTACCGGATTCCATACTAAAATCTTAACGCGCTCACGATCGACAGTGAACGTAAACGTCAAAAAAACTTACACTAAGCGCTCAGAACATTTGATTTTGGTTAACATCAATAAGTTGTTTATAATAAAGCTCTGATTTCAGTTTGTCTCTTGGCGTAGGGCATCTCTAGCATCGTCTAGTGGTTTTTGATGCCTATTATACTTCTTTCCATGGCCCTTTGACAGTGTACTAGCGTTTCTCTGTGTTTTGCGAGTGATCACCAGGTTTCGTATCCATATGTGAGACAAGGGAGTATGCAGGTGTTGAAAACTTTTTATTTAACTCCTATGCTGAGTTCGTTGGATTTCATAATCTATTTTAAAGATCAATATTGTTTCCAAACATTGGTTGTTCGTCTTTTTATTTTTTTGGTGGTTTGGTCCTCATGTGAGATTTTTTTAAGTATATGTATTCTTCCACGCACTCTAGAGTGAAATTAAACAAAATTATTGTTTGATTTAATTACTTGTTTTTCGCATTTTGTTTGCAATTTAGTTTTGCTTGTATTCATTTGTAGTCCAACTTTCTCGCTTTCTCTCTTTAGATCTTCAACCATTTTCCCCAAATTATGTGCATCCTCTTCGAACAGGACGATGGCGTCTGCGAATCTAAGATGATTTAGCTTTCAATCGTCTATTTTGAGGTCATAGTTGTCCCAATTCAGCTTTCGGAATATATTCTCCAGTACTGCTGAGAAGAGTTTGGGTGAAAGTGGAACACCTTGTCTCACACCTCTTTCTATGTTAAATACTTCTAACGTTTTCAGTTGAATGCTTGCTCTGCTGTTGCAATATATTGTTTTGATAATTTTTATATATATATTGTCGGGATTCCTTGATTTTCTAAGCTTTCCCATATAGATTTATCTAAAATGCTGTCAAAAGCTTTGGTGAAATCCATGAAGAACTTATACAAATGCTTATTATACGCCGTATATTTTTCGATTATCTGTTTCACAATATGTAAATGACCTGTTGTTTAAAAGCCTTCTAAAACCCGCCTGCTCCATAGGTTAGTTTTCGTCTAGTGTGTTACTAAATTGGTTGAGGATAATGTTGGAGAAAACTATTGCTCTATTACTCAACAACGAGCTTTTAGTGACCGAATACATATATCATTATTTTATAAACACTAAATACATAAATGAATTAGGCAAATTCCCGCGCTTCAAAAATATTAATTTATAAGTATTATGTGATGGCACAGAATAAGAAAAAAGGTTGTAATGGTGTGTTACAGGTTTATTGTTAGCACACAGCAAACGCAATAAAAAACGTTAAACAAAAAAGCTAGAATTAAATTTATTATTTTACCGTGGGAGAGCCACGCTTCGGCATGAATGGGCCAGCTCGACTGGAGTGATACCACGGCTTCACAGAAAACCGACGTAAAGCAACGCTTGCGTTGTATTTCGTCGTGTGAGTGAGGGTACTGGAGGCCCAACCCTTCCCTATTCCCTTCCCTCTACCCCTCAACCCTTCTTTCCAAGGCCGGCAGCGCGCTTGTAACCCCTCTGGTGTTGCAGGTGTCTATGAGCGACGGTAATCACTTACCATCAGGTGATCCGTCTGCTCGTCTGCCCCCTATCCCATAAAAAATTAAAGAAATCATTTGACATACAAATCAATGTA